TGCCAGTTAAGAGATACAATCTCATAGTTTCCTTTAAATAATACTATTCACCTGCATTTATTCTGATACAGGTGGGATTTGCAAATATAAATCTAAGCTTAAATTATTTTAAAATAAATTGAATTAGAAGAAGCGACATAAGATAGAACATTCTGGAAAGGAGAATACTATGATAAATTATATTCTTAGAAAACATAATTATATTTGTTTTAAATAGCTCATTTGAAATCTGTATTTATTTTTTCAACACAATCTGAAGATAACTTCTGTAAATGGAAGTAGTCTTTCAAGACAGAGCACAATGGATTATGATGAAGGACTATGGGTATTTCAGTGATGAGAGCACTATGATGTCTATACCTAAGAGAGGAAATCCTATACTTGTTGAATAGGGAATGTCTAATATTTGTGTACCTATGTCTCAAGAATCTAAAAAGGAATAGCAGAAGAAGAAAGGCAAAAGTGCTGGCAAATATTCTTGATATAACTAGTCACTTGGCTTTCTGTAGGAGTTTTTAAAGTTTAATATAAAGTTATATTAAGCTGCTATTAGAGATACTTTGGTGGAAAACTGTTGAAAACCTAAAAGCAAGGAATATGAGTAATGCATTTTTTTATATTTTTTAAAATAATTTTAATATATTGTGGGCTATTTAATAAAAGAGAACTGCTACTTGCTATCTAATTTTTTTTTTTAATTTTATATGACACAGGGCCTCCCTGGCAGTGCAGGGGTTAAAGTCTCAGTATTCTCAAGCTATCACCAGCCTCTGTGGCAGGAGTTCAGTTGCCAGGCCAGGGAGCTGAGCCTCAGGGTGCTGTAGACAGACCGCCCCCTTTAGCAGGGTATCTCAGTAGATCTGCCTGTTTTGTTTTCTGCTCTGTCTCTGGTCAGTCTTCTCACTGCCTATATCTCTGGCCTGTACCCAGTTCTTGTGTGCATAAACAAATAAATATAAATCTTTTTTTTATAATATGATAGTTTATTTTTACATCATTTTGTACATTTTTTTCCATCTCAATTGTAATCCCCATGGGTTTCCCATCACCAAGTCACCCATGTGCCATCACCATAGTCCTGTGCCCTTCCCCCCCCCCCACCGCCCCCGTTTTTGATCCCATTCCCCACTCCACACCCACAAAATGTCTCAGGTATATGGCTGTTCATTATTCTTATTGATAAACAAATATAAATCTTAAAAAATTATTAGCACATCACAATTCCTCATATTAATGCATTATCACTAACTTTTAGTAAGAACAGAAAAGGCAAGCGATCACTACAGAGTGATGAAAGGAACATTCATTGACTCTGTCAAACTCCACTACAGTTCTGTGTACTCTACTGATCTCAAATTAACAACAGAGAGGGTATTGCTATAGCTACTGTGTAGAAGAGAAAACTGAGGCTCTGAAAACTAGATTATTTTCATTAGTTACTTTCGTTAGCACAATTGGCCGCCAAACTCATGTATTTTTCAATTATATAAAGATGTTACCTCACAAGTATTAATTTGCTATGGATAAAAGTAAACTTTATTTTGGACAATAAAATCCGCAATTTACATTACAACCAAAATAAGCCACTGGCATTTTAGTAACAATGCTTGCGTGTAGTTTTATGTGAATGCATATTTGAAATCAGATGTGACTAAAGCTTAAGCAACTTAATAATTGAATGTTTGTTTATCCTAAGGAAAATGTTACAAGATTTTTTTCCTTCCATTTTCCTCTCCATATAAGTTCCTGTATTTCTTTTGTATGGTCCCTGATAAGGCCATAGGGAAGCACCTCAGTGTAGGCACTAGAATCTACAATGTAGTATGTCATAATTGTAACCACCAGGGGCAGAATTTTGACTTTTAATTTCACATTTCATTTTAATTGCCATATATATATATATATATATATATATATATAATTAAAATTTAGTAGCTCAGATGGCAATATAAATGTTTTTCAATATTTATCATTGCTAGAAATAAATAAGATTCATGGTCTGAATTTACTACCATTCTTTCAAACTTACATTACAGAAGTAAAAACTTAGTAAGTTAGATTGTACTCTAACATCAGGTGAATCTGTCTACCAATGGTTTTTGATGAAGGAAGTTTTTAAAATCAAGATCAAGTTGTAGAGAATTATAGTCACTTAACAGAACATATAAATTTATAAATATCTTTCTTATATTTAAAAAACACATTGGATAGAAAGATGCATACATAATTCACTAGTGTGTTTATTTTCAGGAAAAATTGAAGACTGATTCTTTAAATAGACAAATAAAGCATACTTATTTCTTAACTATTCTTATTCATCTTAATAGATTAGAAAATGTGTCCCCCCCCTTATTTTACTTTTCTGGACTTTTTTTTTATTTTACTTTTCTGGACTTTTTTTTTTTCAATAATCAGTTATTATTTTTTAAAGATTATTTATGCATACAGAACTGGGGTACATGCCAGAGACGCAGGGGCGGTGAGAGGCTTCACCAGAGACAGAGTGGGGAGCAGGACAGGAGGACTGACAATTACATTGCTGAGGGGAGCAGCTGGCGGTCAGGAGAGGTCTGCCAAGCCATGTGAATGACCTCATGCTGAAGTGGCTTTGGCAACTTAGTGTTGTGCTTTAACCCACTGCACCACCAGGGAGGGCCCACTTTTCTGGACGTTTAAGCTTTTCAAAATGAAACCAAATATACAATTAAATCAGAAATATACTTTTCTGGATAAGTGATATGAAATTTTTTTTCTCTTGAAATATTTTGTCAAAGACTAGAAAATTGTTGGAAAATACAGAATGTCATACAGGTATACTTACTTTTAAACTATTTTTTTTTTGTATATAAATGTTTTCTAGGGTTATCCCTGCCATAATATCAATAATGAAGGCTGATATTTGGTTATTCCCAGATTTCTACCATTACCAAGTTAAATTGGTAAATTGTTTGGAAGTAAGTTCCTAAATAAAATAATAGAGATATCATAGCAAAGTAAAAAAATATAGCAGCACTAATAACAAAAATCAAAAATCTTTCTTCTCTGCATTCTAGTCTGTACCCAAGGAATATCAAGAGATTCATTTTCTCTGAGTACTTTGATCTCTATCTTTTTTTTTTTAAAGATTTATTTATTTGTTCATACAGAACTGAGGTACAGGCCAGAGGCTCAGGGGCAGCGAGAGGCTTCACCAGAGACAGAGTGGGGAGCAGAACAGGCAGATTTACGAAGTACACTGCTGAGGGGAGCAGCAGGCGTGTCAGGAGAGGTCTGCTGCGCCATGTGGTCATCTCCGGGGCAGGTGGAAATCGAACTTAGTGCTGTGCTTTAGTTTATCAGTGTTGTGCTTTAACTTGCTGCGCCTCCAGGGAGGGCCTGATATCTATCTTTAATGTGGGCATTAGAATGTCTTCTTAACACGCTATTATTAAGTATTAGAAATAGTAACTAACACAGTACAAAAGACATGATAGACATTATTTTCCACATATTTCTTTAAAAGTTGAGTGGAAAGATGATTACATGGTAGAAACTTGTTCTTGGTGATCATATCTGATAATAATTATAGGCAAAATAGGAAAGATTCAGTGTAGGATTTAATTCATATCAACATGGATTTTTAAATATGGATTTTATTAATTCTAAGTATTTATGGGTGACTACTAGTTAAGAAGGAAATTAAAAAACAGTATCTTATTATCCAAACTCTTCTGACTTGAACAGAATAGAAATTAGTGTCAGAAGGAGAATAGATATGAAAAAAGATTGCCATTATTTTTAAATTATATCTAATTGTTCAAGAGATGCATTTGAAAAATTCATTTGTAATTTTACATTTTATAAACTAGTAAAAGTATGAGAGTAAAGGTAGTGGAAAGTGGTAGATTTTGCAACTTACAGAAAATTGTGTGTTTTGACTATTACAAGACTGAAACTTTATGTATGGTTTTAATTTATTCATGTACTTTTGGACTTCTAATAGTTAACACTTTTAATAGTAATGAATATTCAGAGATTGACTCACTTGACAAAAGCTGAATCTAAATACATGATTTATGAAGAAAACACAATTGAAAGGAAAAAAAAAAAACCTGAGTAGCATGAGGTAGATGATATCTCAGCAATATAAATTATAAGTAGCTAAATTATACATCTAATATCCAGTATCTATTTCAGAGATACAGCAGGAGTCAAAATATCTCTGGGCTCAGATTACTTTTTTATTTAGTATATGGATTTCTACAACTTGAGTAAATGTTTGCATTGGCATTAAAGTTCCAGAAAATGGAACTAGTCAATGACTCTATTATTCAACACAGAAATATTTTCAACTTTTATTCAATCAATAAATAATTGGGATAGTTCTCTTCCTTTCATTTATTAAGAATCAAATATCTGTATAACTTTTATGACACCCTTTACATTTTTGTATGTGTTATATATATAATTTCATGTTCAAGCAATGCACTGAGCAAGTATTATTTTCCATGTTTTACTAAAGAAGACAGTGAGAGTAAGCTCTGTCTTGGTCAAGATATTTACACTATGGTAAAGTTGGGATTCAAAATGGTAGAATCATATTTGTTTCATATGTCACATTGATTTTTAAAGGATGAAAAACTATTACATGATTTTCCCACTTATTTTCTTATAGTGATATGTATCCTGAAATTATGCTGTCATTTTTACTTTTGATTTTTGAGAAATGAACAATTAATTAGTCATTGATGCATTAAACCACTCCCCTCCCCCCCCAAAAAAAACAATACTAGTAACCAAGCCATGTGTTCTTAGGAAGAAAGTGTGTGTATCAAAACTATTCATTTATATTACATCTTTCAACATATTTTATTAATTATTCAGTCTAGTCAGATAAAAAGTGCAAAGTTTGAATAAATAAATATGAATCCCTAGGTCATGCTGATTTTATATTTATTTTTACTATTACATTTGTTTTTACTATGTATAATCAAGGATTTTCTTTCTTTTTATTATTATAGGAATGACTTGTCAAGCTCGAACATCATACACAGAAGATGAAGTTCTGTGGGGTCATCGGTTTTTCCCTGTAATTTCCTTAGAAGAAGGATTCTTTAAAGTTGATTACTCCCAGTTCCATGCAACATTTGAAGTCCCCACCCCACCATATAGCGTGAAAGAACAGGAGGAAATGCTTCTTATGTCATCCCCTTTAATAGCACCAGCCATTACAAACAGCAAAGAAAGACATAATTCTGTGGAATGCTTAGATGGACTAGATGATATTAGTACAAAACTTCCATCTAAGCTTCAGAAAATTACTGGAAGAGAAGACTTTCCGAAAAAACTATTGAGGATGAGTTCGACAACTTCAGAAAAAGCCTACAGTTTAGGAGATTTGCCAATGAAACTTCAACGAATAAGTTCAGTTCCTGGAAACTCAGAAGAAAAACTGGTCTCTAAAACCACCAAGATGTTATCTGATCCTATGAGCCAATCTGTGGCTGATTTGCCACCAAAGCTTCAAAAGATGGCTGGAGGAGCAGCCAGAATGGAAGGGAATCTTCCAGCCAAATTAAGAAAAATGAATTCTGATCGATTTACATAACAGAATATTCCCTTAGACATTACTTATTGTTTGATTTAGTTATAGTCCAATATTTGGCTGATGAGGTTATACTCTCTAAGGAATCTGAAAGGCACATTTTCTCACCAGTCTTACACACATATTTGAGAATCCTTTCTTTCTAAGCATTGCTGTTGTGCACAAAGCAAACCTGTGATGGGAGGACCTCACAAAAAGTTATTACAGGCATGTATTATCACATCAAGCATGCAATAATGTGCATAATTTGCATTTAGTTTTATGGCATGATTTATATATGGTATATTTATATTGTATATTCTGGAAATATATATATATTTAAAGAAGTGGTACTCTCCACAACATTTCTAACATGTATTAAGCCAAACATGAGAGGATAGCTTTCAGTGAGATATATATATATCTATATCTATCTATATATAGATAGATATAGATATATATACTCACACACACATATATATCTGATAAAATTGTGATGTTTTGTTCAAAGTTGTAGTTCTTGTGCATGTTTACTTTATTAAGTTAGGAGACTTCTGGCATTAATTATTAATACCAAATATTTTAGCCTTAAATTATTTGTCATTTAAAAATTCTAATTTAATGTTTTTGCTACCTAAGGTCCTGGGAGGTTTTCAATTATAACTTTATATGAAGGAGTCACACAAGTTTGTGCTATTTATGGCCCTGCAAAAATATAGCCATTATATTTCTATATCTATATATATATATATATATGTATATATATATATATATATATATATTTAACTTGTAAATTTTAGAGCATACTAATATGCTGAAAATTTCTTATAATTTTAAAAAAGTTGCTAGTACTGGGAGGAAATAAAATTGATTAATTTGACAATCGATCCTTCCCTGTACTAATTAAAATCTGAAAATCTGTTTTATATATGATCCAATACAAATATGAGCTCTGAACAAATGCTGAATCATTGTAATAGGCGGTAGCGAAGTTACATTGAATATATCAGAACCTGTGTGAAATGACATCCTTAATGATCCCTGTTTTGAATTGATTCAGCTAGTAGCATTGCATTCTTTTTCTGGAACTTCTTGAGGTGATGCAACAATATAGTGAAACAGATGATACATATTCATGTTTAAAATATGTCGGTGTAATTGAAGTCCTTTTTTTCTGCTGTTTTGTTTGTGGCCTTTGTTGTAACACGATAAACTTTTTTTTTCACCTGGGAAACCTCTCACACTCCATGGCTGTTGCTCAGCTCAAGAGAAACCCTTGAGATCATTTACACTTAGATGAATTAAAGATATTTTGCCCAAGTTTTTTGTTTGTTTTGGTGAACACTGATATTATTGGTGTATTGGATGCCTGTTCTACCAAAATAATTTTTGCCGTACTGTTTTTCTAAACCTAAGGCCTGATATTTATGATTCATTAGTGAGAATTACTACTGTTGTTCAGTAGAACATTTACAAAACAAATATATGGAGTACAGAAATTTTAATGAAAATGTTTAAGTGCTCTTTATCAGGATATGGACTTTCCTATAAATTTGAGTTGGGATTTTCAACCTAAATTTGCCCAGAATTAATCTGTTTCTGCTCATTGAAATGTAAATTCTTAAACATAGGTTTGGACTCCCAACTTTATTCATTTTTATTAATCTTATGATGATTATCTTCTTGGAAAATTGATTAAAAAAAATAAAAGTTCTACAATTGACTACAATACTACCTTTGGCTACCTCTTTAGCAACTAAATTCTGTAGGTGCAAATATATACCAGGGAATTCTTATTGGCGGAGTGATCAATCTGGAACATCCATCCACTGTGAAGAAGCTAGTTACCCTAGCCTTTGATAGCCAACCTTTCTTATTTGCTGGTCACAGTCAATGAACTAGTAACAGGGAGAGAATGGGATCCAGGAAGCATTGTGTATTTATTAGCTGTGGAGAAACTGCACAGATCATTAAGTCTAACCACGCAAAACTAAATAGAGCCATCATTTAATTTGGACAGTCATTTAAATTTGTCTTTGGTACCAAGGAGAATATGGGACCAAAATTAAGGTCCCTGAATGTATTTGTTTATTCCACAGCAGTTTTGCATGTCTTTTATGTCCTAGGCATTTTTAGCTCCTGGGATTATGAACACAACTAAGTTAGAGGATATCACTGCCCATTGAACATTGTCTAATGATAGGAGATTGGGAAGGGGATACAGTGGAGATTAACGAAAACTAAATAGTATGTTTTTCAGATAGTCAAAGTATCTGACTTTAGGGAAGGAAAAGAGAGTAAATGACCAAGTGGAATAAGAATTGATTTTCAAAGTGGTGACTGATGTAGCAAGGAGTCATAATTAAATCAGTCACTAACTGATAAGAAAGAACCACTCTTGACAAAGTTAATTTTATTTTCTGAATCTTTTTCTTTTTTCTTTTCTACATATTATGAATGGGAAAGGTATGATTTTGGCATGTAACTACAGGTTTGCCCTATTGCTAAGTTGATCACATGATCTCAGTTTACCAGGAAAGCTCTAGTTGATACTTGTTGCTGTGTAATTATTAGTAGAACTCCCTTTTACTCTTAGAATGTCCAGGTTTGATGATATATGGTGACTCAATGTTTTTGTTGAAACTAAACTATGAAGTCTGATATATTTGGATAAAAATAAAGAATTGTTTTTTTCTTCTTCTTTTGCTGATTTTTTTGACACTGATCATTCCAAACAAAATCATGTCAGTTTTATATATTTTGGCCTAGAGGACTTCTTATCAAAGTGACTTCATGTTATGATTGTCCTATACATGCCATATTTTCTCAGACATGAAATGCTATACATTGTATTGACTGAGTAAAAAATAAGTAAATAAACCTCCAGTATATCCATTTCAGAAAACTTTAAGAGCTCAGAGACATGTCAACTTAACCACGACAATTTACAGTCCATCAGGTGGTAACTAACAATAGGAAAGTGAAATGCATTGTTTCTACTGAACTACATAATTCTACTTAAAAATGAAAACTAGTCCCTTCAGATGAGATCTTCATGGTATGCATCCTTCCATAGTAAATGATTGATTCTATCAAAATGATGTAAATAAAATAGATATTTTGATAATGCTTATCCTTATTCATCCTTTTCAGCAACATGTAAGTATACTTTGTAAATAGATACCAAATTAAAAATAAGGATATTTTATCAGCAATTAATCATTTCTGCAGGAAATTTTATGCTGTTAAAAATGCATCCATCCATATATGATTTTTAACACTATGAAAACATTTGTTTTAGAAATTTTGCTTCATCTATAGAGTGGAACCAGATAGATTATTTCTATTGGAGGAAGAGTGATATATTTGAGAAGATGGCTTATATTCTATTTTGTTATAAAAAATTTCTACTACTACTAAGAAAAGAATTTGGGCTGCACAGCACATCTGTGAGTTCTACTTCAAAGCTGAATTACATTGTACATATTCAAGCTATCATTCAACTTACTGCATTGTATGTCATGCAACATAATTATTTAAATGTACAAGGTCAATTTAAGTTACAAAAATAAAAAACTTATGTATTCATTACCTGCAAGTTCAAATTTATAAAAACTACATTAAACTTTCAAGACATGTTTTGGTTTAATTTGTATTGTGCTCATCGTTTTTTCACTTTCTAGTTAATTACATTCCTTGATTCAGTTTGTTTTATTTTGGCCCCTTGTTGGTGAGATGTTTCAACCTTATGGAGTGTGAACTTGACAATGCAAGATTACTTGAATTTATGGCAGAATCAGTGTTTCAGAAGTTATGTAAGTAAAGTCAGTACATAGGTTTCCTAATTTTTAAAGATGAAATCATATTTCTGAAAATGTTGATTTACTTTTCCTAAAAAAAAATATGTTTCTGATTTTGAACCAGATTATTTCTATATGTATATGCCCAAATCCCTGCCAACTGACCAGAATTAATTAAAACAAAAGCACCTAGTTCTTGACCTAGTAAGGCTCAAAGAGGTTGGCCCTTGTCATTCTGTGTACTGTTCTTAACCAAATGATTTTTTTTAACCTGGAAATTTTCTTTGAAACTTGTTATTTCAGAACTTCTGGGCTTTATGAGATTATAAAGGCTAAGGACAATAAATATGCTTGGTTCCATTAGCTTCTCCCATCTTTATTAAGACTTGCATCCCCAGGTTTCCTGTCATTCATTCCCATGCTACTCTGCAAACATTGTTTGAATCTTTAGAATTCTACATAGTCAAGATTATCCCCATTTTCCACTTGAAGAAACTGATTTTCAAAGAGACCATTCAGTGTGTTTCTAATTAAGTTAAATCCACAAATTTGAATAGTTCCTGCCCTCTGGGTGGTTCCATTGTTATTTACATGCAAATCCCTAAACATTCTTATTACTGCTACTCTTGATTGTTCTTTTGGGAATTCTAACTATTCGTTTTCACAGTGGTAGATGAAATCTAGTTCAACTTCAACTTTTGCTATTCGGTACATCTCTACCACATCCACTCAACCCTAAATTTGTAATATTGTTATGTCATTTTAAATTAAATCATCAGTGTTTTCATTTTCTCTCTCAATTCAGTCCACATATTTTTAGCCTTTTTCTCACCCTTCATCATTTCCTCCAAATGTTGATAAAAGTTGTTTTAAATTTGCTTATTGATATATATTCTTATAACTAACTCTGTCACAGTCTTTTCTAGTAATATTTTCCTATGAATTTTTCAAACACATTAGATATTTAACAATCTTGTATTTTTGAAGAAATCTTTACAAAAGAATTAGAACATTTTAAGTGAAGTAAATTTCCTAAGTTGAAATCTCCCTTTATCATCAGCATGAGGATTCTATGTGCTTCATTTTTGATATAGAAATCCTGTTTCATGAAATCTTAGGTTTTCATTATTCTTAGTTTACCACTTTGTTTTGATGAACCACGTTTTCCAGGAGTTTCTGAGAAATTATGGTAATGATCTTTCCAAAAACTTGGTATTTTTAAATAAGGTGATATTTCTCTCATAATAGATTTTTCTAGTGTAAAATTCACTTTCCTTCTGAATTTCACTGATACTATTCCTTCTTCCCCTTACTATCTAGTGTTGCTATTGAGACATCAGATTTTATTCTGAACTTTAATCCCTTGTATGATATTTACTTCTCTCCTTGAAGCTTTTAGAATATTTATTTTTCCCAGTGTGAAAACTTCAAGATTTCAAAATTTATAAGTGTGGGTCTATTTTAATCAATTTTGCCATGCCCTTTTGCTACGGAAGCACATATGAACTGTCCTCTGTATTTCTAATATCCAACATTTCCTGTTTTAATTGCTGTTTCTATTTTTTTCCCTGCTTTCTTGAAGACTTTCTTACTTTTAACTCTTTTGACTTTTATTTGATTTATCTTCCAAGATTTTCATTTCTTCTACAGATAACCTTAATTTTCAGTGACATTTTTTGGTCTTCTAAATCTTTTTTAAAGTGATCACTTTATCACAAATGAAGGCCCTTTCAACTTATTAATGATAATGTATTTTAAATATTGCTTCTCTATGTAAATCTCTAGAATTTTTTTTTAAATATACAATTGTGTATCTGCTTTCTAGTGATGCACTTATAAACACCATTCAAGTTGTGTGAAAATGTATAGGCTTAGTCTTAACTATGTCTTCACTCCTGAGGGACATGACTGGACTACTTACTTGATAACAGTTTGTGTCTTTGTTTTCTTTAGAATGCTTTAATGTCAGCATCATTGCCCAGGTAAAACTCTTAATCACTTTAATGCAGAGTAGATAACTGTCAATATTTGAATGTAATGTGGGCTCATGAAAAAATTTTGTCTCTATCCCCAGGTATCTATCCAGTATATTCAAGTGTGCTTAGTTTCCTGCATTCTAAACAATGTTTTACCCTTATCCAAAATCAAGACTTCATTTTTCTCCCTGTGAAAGGAGCAACCAACACTTAGAATTGATTAGAACAAATTGAAAAGGAGTTTTTAACAACAGACTTTTAAGTAGTTATTTTTACTACTTTTGCCTTTCCTTACTCTTGTTCTGCTATGCCTTTCAAGTCTACATTTGTTTCAGTAGTTTGAGGAAGCAGCAGAGATAAATACTTATAGTTAATCTGCTACTTTTGAAAGAAAAGCTACTTTAACTGTATTAGATCTCTGTCATGGTTATACTGAATTACCAGAATTTTATCAGCATAAATAACACAAATTTATTACATTCAAGACTATGAATAAAATACCATCTTGGTCTCACAGGAGTAAAACCAGTATGTCACCAGAGCTGCATTTCTTTCTAGGGCATCTACAGGACAATTCATTTACTTGACCTTTCTATTTTCTAGATCTTACTAAAATATTTGTCTTACTGCCCACTCTTTCCATCATGAAAAACAGCAAATATGGATCTGTCTACCTTTATTTTGTAGTCACATCTTGGTCTCATACATTTCTAATGTCCTCTTCCACTTTTAAGTATCACTATGATAAATTGATTCCCCCTAGATAATTCAAGGTAATCTTCTGATTTCAAGGTCCTTAGCTTCATTACACATGCCAATTTCTTTGTCAAGTAAAATAATATATTAACAGGTTCCAGAGTTCAGGGTGCAGACTTCTTTTGGGACCATCATTCTGACTCCCACATTAACCTTTCTTATTCCTTTCTATACAGAGAGAACATAGTTTCAACAAAACATTTCCTTTCCTTAATCTAAGTACATATAGATTGAAAAGTAAGTCCAGACCTAATGACATCTTCCCTTGTAAGGAAACACTTAATTGTTCTCTTAAGAAACTATTTTTGTCATAGTCTGTGAGCAAATGTCTAGCCAGGTTTTATTTTATAATTTTTCATAGAGGAGAAAAAAACAAAACAGTGTTTCATGTAGTAAATTGGAAATAACATTTACAACTTAAATGTCCTAAATCTGAGATGAAATATTAATAGCAGTCACTTTCCATTCTGATTGACCTGTAGAATTGATATTCAAGTGTGAAGAAAGGATTGAATGGCAAAGACTTGGTAAACTGATATCTGCACATATAAATATACCATTTCCTAAAGAATATGCTGTAATTTAAAATATTATAATTTTTATTGGGAAAGTAATTATTGCTGATCAACCTAAAGGGAAAAACATGCATTGGGAAGTATTCATTATATTTAGTTTTAAAAGAAAGTAAGCTTCCCCCACCCCAAGGTAAGAATCAAAATATTGCTTACAGCTGGAGCTATTTTGGACCACTAATTTAATGGAGCTATTTTCAACCACTAATTTAATTCTTATTACTGGACATAAATTTTATTTGGTTTCTTTTCTTAATACTGTACTAACAGTTTTCAGATTGTCACATTTCCCTTTTATATAGGGAAACTCTTGCTTGAGAGTAATAGAATCAATTCACACCATGTAGAATTAGCATCACACTTTGTCCATTGACATGAACTTTCTGGGTTGTCATTTCCAGTTGAAATGATCACACAATTGACATGTTCTCAGAGATCCTTCAACTTAAATAAATGATACTAATTTAGGGAAAAGATCTCCATATTGATTAACAATTACTGCTTATTAATTTAGAGAATTCTGAATGTTTTGAAACACAGGTGCACAGCACACTATAAATACAAAAAAGAGGAATGTGGTCCAGTTTTTAACTAATGTGGTATTGGGGTCAGTTTAAAAGAAGTGGGAAGACCCTGAAATATATTTTGCAGCTAGCAATACTGAAATTGTTTTTTCAGAGATTTGAAGAAATTACAAAAATGAAAAAGAGAAGAAACTTTGTATAGATTCATGGAATTTGGAAAGGATGCCATGTGTCTATGTTTTACAAGTATGTACATCAGAAAGACTTGGGGTGTGAAAACTGGGTTAATTAATATAGGCAATAACTAGAAAGGTAAGTAGAGATCCATTGACAGAAAATATTATAACCCACACAAAATGTTACGGAAAATTTTGAAAAAAGAATGAATCATTGAATTGAGAAAAATGCAAAAATCATACTCTAACTGCAAAGGCTAGTATAAATGCTGTAACTGTATATAATATTTCATTCCTGGTAAGTTAGTCCAAAAGTTTAAAAAAAAAAATCACTTCATGTGTTTTCCCCATCTGAAGAAGATAAAACAATTCCCCAAAGAACTACCAATAATCTCAGATCATTTTTTATCTCATTTGACTTTCACAACAATGTCTCTCTCCTCAATGATAGCAATCAAGCACTCCAAACTACCTGAAATCTTCCCCAAAGGAAATTATTATTCGAGAGTGTTTTCTGTATCTCATCTCTTATTGCATTTTATTGCATTGAGTTGAGTTGATTTTTAAAAGACAGTAAAATGCAGACTGTGAGAAAGCAAAGATTTAAAATATAATAATTTTTGTGTTGGGCTCCTTGCTCTTCAACAGTGTTTCTAGTGTCAGGTTTATGTTGCAGAGAAATAACATCTGTCTATGTCTAATCCAAGATAGTTTTATTTATTTATTTATTTATTTATTAACAGTTATTTATGCATACAGAACTGGGTAACAGGCCAGAGGTGTGGTG